TTTGTTTGTTTGTTTGTTTTGATTATTATGTGGCGAGGGAACCATTTTTATGGTCCACTCTGTTTGTTGTTTTCTAGTATTTCCAAAGTATGTTCCTCTTTAGGTTGTTCTTTGAGTCGGACTTCTCCTCCCTCTATCCCTATTATTTTTAGGATCAGTTATTTTCATGGTGTCTCAGATTTCCTGCATGTTTTGTGTTATGGATTTGTTGGATTAGCATTTTCTTTGACCAATGAATCTGTTTCCTCCAAATTATCTTCAATGCCTGCAATTCTCTCTTCCGTTTCTTGTATTCTATTGTTTATGCTTATTTGTGGTTCGTTTACCCAGATTTTCCATTTCTTGAATCCCCTTGGTTTGTGTTTTCTTTATTGCCTCTTTCAGATTTCATGCCTTGAATCCTTTCCTTCACTTGTTTGATTGTTTTATCTTGGTTTTCTTTCAGGGATTTATTGATATCTTCCAACGTTTTGTTTGTCTTTTCCTCCATTTCTTTAGGAAGATTTTTCATTTCCTCTTTAACGGGCCTCAATCATCCTCATCAAGTTGTTTTTTAGGTCGTGTCCTTCTGCTTCATCTGTGCTGGGATGTTCAGGTCCTGCTGTTGTAGCAGTACTAGTTTCTAGTGGTGCTGTATTGCTCTTTATATTGTTGAGTGTGTTCTTGTTGTCTACGCATCTCTTCCTCTAACCGGTACAGGTGGAGCTTGTGCTTCAGGGGTCTCTCTTTCTCCAATTGGTGTAGTTGGGGGCTGTGGCTCTGTCGACCGCTCCTGCAGGCACAGGTAGAGCAGGGCTTCCAGTGACCGCTCCTCCTGGTGGGAGTGGGCCCATGGCTCCGGTGGTCGCTCCGTGAGCTGCAGGTGGGGCCAAGCTCCAGCAGATGCTCCTCCCTTTGGAGGTAGAGATGGGGCTGAGGGTCCAGTGGTCAGTGTAGTAGTGGGCATCTCCAGCTTTGAAATGGCTGGGTCTCAGGTGTTCTTTCCCAGAGGAACTCCTTGCCATAGCTGAAAGCCACTGCTGGAAGCTGCTGCTGCGTCTCACCAGGTCCTTCCTCCTTGCTCCTGGGCCACCAGACCTGGGGCTGTTGGCTCCCTAAACACCGCTCGGGCCTCCCTCTGAGGCTGCTGCTCCAGGCCTGAAGCTTGGGCCTTCCTGTGATGGACCTTTAATTCTTTTATTTATTTATTTTTAATTTTCTACTTATTTAAATTAGAAACAGGCTTGTTTTACATGTCAATCCCAGTTCCCTCTCCCTCTCCTCCTCCCCTTCACCCCTCCAGTCCCCTATCCCATCCCATCCCCTTTCTGTTCCCCTTAGAGGGTGAGGCCTTCCATGGGGAGTCTTCAGAGTCTGTCACATCATTTGGAGCAAAGCCTAGGCACGCCCCCGTGTGTCTTGGCCGAGGGACTATCCCTCTTATGTGGGCTGGGCTCCCAAAGTCCATTTGTATACTAGGGATAAATACTGATCCACTACCAGAGACCCCATAGACTGCCCAGTTCTCCTAACTAACACCCACATCAGGGGGTCTGGGTCAGTCCTGTGCTGGTTTCCCAGATGTCAGTCTGGGGTCCTTGAACTCCCATTGTTCAGTTCAGCTGTTTCTGTGGGTTTCTCCAGCCTGGTTTTGACCCCCTTTGCTTATCACTCCTCCTTTGCAACTGGATTCCAGTTCAGTTCAGTGTTTAGCTGTGTCTGCTTCTGCTTCCATCAGCTACTGGATGAAGGCTGTAGGATGGCATATAAGGTAGTTATCAATCTCATTATTAAGGAAGGGTGTTTAAGGTAGCCTCTCCACTATTGCTTAGATTCTTAGTTGGGGTTCATCCTTGTAGATCTCTGGACATTTCCCTAGTGCCAGATTTCTCTATAATGGCTCCCTCTATTATGGTAACTCTTTTCTTGCTCTAGTCTTTCCCTGACTCAATCTTCCTGCTCCATCATGCCCACCTCTTCCTCCTCCCCTTCTCTTTCTCCTAACTCCCTCTCCCCTCCTTTTATGCTCCCAATTTGCTCAGGAGATCTTGCTCCTTTCCCCTTCTCTGGGGGACCGGACCTTTAACTCATGATCCTTCTGCCTACACTGCCTAAATTCTGGGATCATGGGCATGCACCATTGTGCCTGGTGTATGCAGTGCTGGGGATCCAGTCTGGGGCTTTGTGTATGCTAGGCAAGCCCGATACCAACTGCATTCTCTTTCTAATCCCAAGCTAGGTATTCTGATGTAGACCATCCCTGTGGCTGTCTACTTAGGTAGACAGGGTTTTTTTTTTCACAACAGATCGTTGATGTGCCGCATACATTGAGAGTTTTTGGAATTCAGTTCAGTCACCAACAGATGTTTACCAGTGATGTCTTTATGAGTTGCTCCGTAGTCTACTTTAAACTGCAAGTTTTTTGAGGGGTTGCTAATTAAAATGTACCCTGGCTTTGTTTGTTAATCCACAACGCACTCCTTTTTTAGTTTTAAGTCACCAGGAGTAGATTGTGAAGACGGCAACAGCAGTGAGCAAACCAGAACCCTTACCTCGCTGCTGTGTGAGTTTGGAGGGTGTAGCTAATTCCTTGTTGTGGGACCGGGTGACATACTAAGGAATCATTTAGCTGTGTATTTGTCCTCCACTCACGGGAGGCAGTAGTAACTCTTTTGGGATCAGTGGAAATATCTCCACATTTACTGACGGTCTCCTAGCAGACACAGTCGTTAGTGCTGAGAACGACAGCTTTCAAAAAAATGTTTAATATAAATAACTTCCTGGAAAATAGTGTCTGAAGATGCTTGTGTGTGTGTGTGTGTGTGTGTGTGTGTGTGTGTGAAGGATGTTTTTAAAATAATACCATTGAAGATTCTTTGTGAATTAATGAACTTTTAACACCTTTAGGTTCTTCTTGGTCTGAGTGTAAGTCCCTGAGATGTGACAATACCTGTCACATGTGCCAGTCCTTGGGCCTGGTACTTAATAAGAACTACAGAAATTTGCTTCTTGACAAAATTTTCATTGGAGTTAAGGACTCCAGTAATATAAAATGTGGCAATTTTGGCACAACACTCAATACACAGATTTTAAAAAGTAAAATCAGTGAAATTCATGACTGTTTTAGAACTTTGCTATGGCAAGAGTCTGCTCTGGGTCTGTGAACTTTTACTTTTGAGAAGTAAAATGATAGAAGCAGGCCTGAACTTTGAACTCAGACTTGAGACTGTCCCCATATTGAGTACTATTAGCTGTCTGGTCCTGGTCTTTGGATTCCTTGGTTGCCAGAGGGTCATGGGAAATGCATGTGAAGTTCTTGTGTGCCCAGTGTTTGCTTCCTCACTGCTCTTACTGAGCCTTCTCCCTTCCGTGAAGAATTTACTTCTACATTGAAGGGCCCCAGTGTAAGCTTACATTCATGATAATAAAGATTGGAGAGAAATGTATGTGAAACAAAGCAGAACAGACTAAGGTGGTTAGGAAGAAGATAGCTCTGGAAAAGCATTTCTGGAGATGAGACAGTGTCAGGGAGGTGAAGTTCCGGGCTCACACTGTCCCTGGAACTCCCAGGAGTGGGCTTGCTTGCTTTTTAGATGTTGATTTGGATGTTATTAATGAGCCTTTGGCTCACCTGTGCGCCTTTGCTTGTAGACCTTCCTGTACTCTCTAGTTGGTAAGGGTGTGGTATGTAAGGGGGATGTTGCAAGATGATGCACACAAGCAGTCCTGAGACAGCAGTGGTGGCTGGGGGAGAAGGAGGAGCTCTGAAGCCCTGTAAGGGAGTGGCTTACACTGATGGTGGCTGTGGGACTTGATGGCCTCTGCTGGTTATGGGCTTTTGCTTCCCCTGGCTCCTCACTCGGGAGACTGTGTAGGTCTTTTTTCTGAGCCTGTGCTTTATTACATTCCCTTTGCTGGTAGTTTTTAAGGAGGAGAGACAAGGGGTGGGTGGGGTGAGAGGGTTTTAGTTATTTATTAAGAAGCTCTGCAGTCCTGGAAGGTGGAGACATGGCTTGGGCTGGTTCAGTTCTCAATATGCACATGACAGCCAACAGCTGTCCGTAACTCCATTTCTAAGGGATCCAGTGTCCTCTTCCGGCTCTGTGGGCATACATGCACATGGTGCACAGAGATACACATGCAGGCATAGCACCCATACACACAAAATAATTTTTAAAAAAGAAAGCTTTTATAAAGCTTATAAAAGATTTGGGAAGGGGAAAGTTGCTTTTTTTTTTTTTTTTAATTTGTCCTCAAATTGAAGTTTATAAATTTAACTGATCTGTTTATGAAGTGTTTTTATAGGTTTCTATCTACCACTATTAAATAGATGTCTATTGAAAAGAATGAAAGGGTGGGGTCAGAGAGATGGCTCAGTGGTTAATGCTCGCTGCTCTCCCAGGGGACCTGATTTCAGTTCCCAGCATTCATACTGGGCAGCTCACAACCACCTGTAAGTCCTGCTCTAGGGGATCTGATGCCTTCTTCTGGCCTCATTGGGCTCCTTCCTGTATGTGATGTTCATAAATCATGAGAGCTTACATGCATACATGTATGCATACATACATGCAAACAAACAAATCTTTATCCTCCCTTGTGCAAAAGAACAATGAAATAGAAATCCTCAAGTTTGGTTTCTTTTGTTGGTTTGAATTCTGATTTGATATGGAACATTTGTGTTTATTTTTCATAGCCTTTCTAATACTGTAGTAAGATAGTTTTGTCTAGAAAGTGGTATAGTTACTATGGTATAGAAAATGCCTATGTTCAGGAAGAAGGTATGTATCTCCATTTTGACTTTTAAAAAAGTGACATCACATGGACCTGAAGGTTAGCTGTTTTCCTTACTGGCACATGAATTTGGGCGTGTGAGCTTTATGCAAAGACTCATCTATACCTGAAGTCAGTTTTCCTTGTTTGATTGCACATTTTGTGTATTATATTGTAAGATATTCTTGCATCTATCATAGGATGTTGAAGTGTACCAGAATACTGTGTGTTAATGTTTTACATGTCCTCAGGTCCCATGATGCATCAGCAACCTCCTTCTCAGCAATACAACATGCCCCCTGGAGGTGGACAGCACTACCAAGGACAGCAACCCCCCATGGGCATGATGGGTCAAGTTAACCAAGGCAATCACATGATGGGCCAGAGACAGATGCCTCCCTATAGACCACCGCAGCAGGGTGAGAGGCCATTTGGAATGTTCCTTGCTTAACGTAAATAACAGTCATTGAAAGGCTTTAAATTTTAATGAACTTTTTGTCTAGGTAAATCCAGGGCTATTTTTGGATTCCCCCCACATTCCCTAAGGTAGCAGGGTTTAGGGTACGGAAGGTCATGAGGTATAGGAGCTTCCCAGCACACAGCTTCCTTTTGTCTGTTATTTTCTAGGAAAATACCACATCATAAAGTTTTCTGTCAAAATTATTCATTTACAACAGAAAATGCCCATTTTTAAAGATGCTACTAAATTTATGACCAAGAACAAAGTCAATTTTCCTTGTAAGTGCTCTAATACTAAAGTAAAAGGAAATGAGTTTGCTACCAGCTTCAGCCCCTTCTGAAGAGGTTGTCTGTCTGAGTTGGTATTGTTTGCTATTATTTGTATGGTCTCATATTAACTTTATAGATGTGACTTGTGGACCTGCTGTGTGTATATGTAAGTGTGTGTGGAATTAATTGAAGGGCCAGAGTGTTGCAGGGAAGTCTACATCTGAGAAGTAGCCTCTCATAGCATGAGATTAGAAAACGCCTGTGATGACATAGAGAACAAATGATTTACGTCTTGACTGGTTGTGGTTTTTCAGGCCCACCACAGCAGTTCTCAGGCCAGGAAGACTATTATGGGGACCAATACAGTCATGGTGGACAAGGTCCTCCAGAAGGCATGAACCAGCAGTATTACCCTGATGGTAATCTCTCCTAATGCTAACCTTCCCGTCTTCTATCCCTGCCCAGTATTGATGTAGACAGCATTTCACAGCTTTTTAATGAAAGGTGAAGAAACTACCACTTGTTTCTTCATTTAGAGACATTTGGGTAGTCTATAGTACCAACAATAAGAGCATTTGTTTGTAATTAATTCAAGGTATATTTGCATTCTGTCACTATAATCTTTTCTCATGTAAAAGGAAGATCCTTTTATATTCAGGGTTGTTCATTTGAACCTGAAACAAATTTTTCTTTTTTGTAATATCTTTGTGGAGATTTAACTCACATGCTATAAAGTTTTACTCTTTGGCTTAAAGAATATGGGTCTCTAGAACTATAGAGAATATAATTACTGAGTATTTTTCATTTTATTTATGGTACATTCTTGTGAATGAACTGTGGCTTATGTGCTTGCACCTTTGAGAAAATGTGTCCATAGCACAACAGTAGACAGGTGCTAACTAGTACCGCATAAACACGGCATTTGGATTTGTAATTTAGGGGCTCCCCGAAGCCCCCTTTAAAAGGGAAGGTGAATTATGAGAAGTTGACTCTACTGAGGAAGTGCTACACACTAAGAAAGTACATACAATGATGATCCAGGTGCACAAGCACATTTTTACTGTGCATTTTAAAAATCTTTTTGTTGTTTGAAAATGTTGTACTTTAATGTTAAAAAGAGTACATCTAAACATACAGAACTGGTTAATTGATAGATGGCTATATTACATAATTAGTTTTCTTGTAATGAAATGGTTTGCCAAAATATTAGTGTATATAGTAAATTCCATTGTTATTTTTAATGTAAATTATACGGCAAAGAAACTTTGGGCTAAAATGTTAGGCCCTCTTCGCTAGAACCTAATGCAGGCCAGCAAGGAGATGGAGTTTGGTTTGTTGCAAAGGCATTTCATCTGCTGCTTTTCATTAGTGTGTAAGGCATGAAGGTGTGTCTGTTTGCATTAGGCACTGACTGTTACCACAGAGGTCCTGGTGAAGCAGAGAGAACAGGCAGGTCCCTGCTGAACTTTACACACAATAGACATTTTTAATAATGATGGTATAGCTAGGTAATTCTGGTTAGAACAAGTATATTTTTTTATCTCAGATTTTCTTACCATGAAATATTCAGAATGTTGTTTTTTTTTTTTTACTTATTTCTATGTAGATACATTTGTTAAGTTTTTTTTATTAGAAACTTTAATAAGATAATAGTATGTTTACAGAAAAATTCATAAGGTGACATCTGCCCAGTAAATATAAGTAATCTGAGAATAAATGAAGCTTTAGAATCAACTTTAAAGTGCATCCTAAGCAATTATGTTGAACTTGGTGGGTTTTGGTCTTGAATATTTCCTCAAATGTGAAGTTTATCTTATTTTAAACCTTTCTATTCAAAGTAGACACACTACTTTTACAAATATTAAAACTTAGTTATTATAATTACTTGTGCTAGTATATGTTTTCAATTTAAATGGAGTCATGTTTTCACAGGTGTGTAGAAGTATGACTTGACATGTACAGAGTACTCTGTTTATATCAACAATTATATTATCTTGTCCATAAATGCCTGGATGAGTACCTGGCTGAGTTTTCCATGCAGAGGGCCAGGCAGTGAATGTTGTGGTCTTTGTAAGGTCTTGCTCACAGATTGTGAACCCTCAACAGCAGGGGTGCGGCTGTACAGTGGTTAAGGGAATGCCTGGACCACATCTGTAGTCTCTGACAGGCCACTGGTCCTAGTAAGCTGGTTGGTCACATCTGGCCAACCCTGAAAGTGGCCTGGGGCTTTCAACACTAAAACAATGTGTGTGACCTTTATTTGTAATTGTGGTTCCCTCCTCCTAATTAGGCCCTCCTGGAACCTTAGTACCATGTTTTAGCAACCAAAGCATTAGTTCCTATGGCTTTAAAAAGTGAAACTTAGAAGACCGAGAAATAGTCTAGTCTACTGGTGAAAGTTACTGTGATAAAACTTAAGTGTTCTCTAACTCAGAAAATACAAGTTTTATGGACTTTATAGTCAGGATACTCTAGAACTATTTCTTAAGTTGCCTAAAAGGACAGCATTAAGAAGTGCATTTTTTCTTGGACTGCACAGGCAGGGGATCCCTGTGAATTTGAGGCCAGCCTGGTTTTTTACCTAGAGTTTGAAGTACCCAGGGTGAGACCCTATCTTATTTTTTTTTTTCTTGCTCCTGAAAATACTGTGAAAGCCCCATGTACTTGATGCAATAAAATGTTAGCGTGTTAAAAACTCACTTCAGCTTCTTTCAGGGAAAACCTGAAGGACCCACTCTAGACTTTGTGTTGTTTTCAGCACACGCTGTGGAAATGGTGACCAGCAGATCAGGGGCTTGATAAAATATGACCATAGCATCCTTTGTTCGTTCTGACTTAACTTGATTTACCCACATGTGAAAGGCCTAAATATTCTCATTTTCTTTTTAAAAATATCATATAAGGGTTTTTTGCCCCCAGTGAGGATTATCCAAGTTAAGAGAATGAGTATAACATTTCTAAATCTACTGCTCTTTGCTTTGAAAAAGTTTGCACGTTATCTCACTGTGAAAGTACTCACGTTGGTAAATACTTGCTAATGCAATTAAAATTATTTTTATGTATTTCCATTTCTTTTTCTTTCTTTTTTTTTTTTTTTTTTTTCTTCAGTTTTATCTTAAAGTTTAATTGTAGGGTTTTCACTCAGTGGCCATTAACGTTTCTTCCTGTCTCTTGTCGAATTGATGTAGGTCATAATGATTACGGTTATCAGCAACCGTCGTATCCTGAACAAGGCTACGATAGGCCTTATGAGGATTCCTCACAACATTACTACGAAGGAGGTATCTATATACCTTCACACACGTACACATGCACACCCCTTCTGCAGGAATGCAGTTCTTGCATAGGACAGTGCCTTCCCATGCAAAGCTCTTGTAGAGTACTAGTTGCTGGCTGTCTGGAAAGTTACAGGGCCCCCAAAACAACCTTACAAATATTTAGAATGTAACCACGATGTGTCATTTCTAACAGCAGTAAAAAGACTAAAACATTTAAAAATGCTTTTTTGCTCCGTGGGAATTTCCTCTTTGAACATAAATCCATTGACCCCATCCCCCACCCCTCGTGTGTGTTTGTACGTATGTATTGTTTACATCTCAGCATAGTGCCTTTAGGGAACAGCTTGCTGATCTTGTGTAGCTAGTGTGTGCTCTTGTAGTTGTCTTTAATTTTGTCTTTTTTATTTTATTTAGCATAGTCATGATCTTAGGACTGTGATGCTCCAGTAACTGTAATGCTCGTATGGCAGAGGCGCAGAAAAGAGCTGCAGTTCAACCTTGCACAATTGGCTTTAACTGCAGTTTGTTTGGCCGAAATCCTTCTGTTTGGTTTGAGTTTTTTCTTTGTTTTGTTAACTTTTTAAAACTCAATATGGCGTTTCAGTTTGTTCTTGTATTGTTGGCTGTGCATCTTAGAGGGGAAGAAACAAACCCGCCAACGAGGCAGCCTCCTCCTCAGTGCTCCCTCCTCCTCCTCAGTGCTCCCTCCTCCTCCTCAATGCTCCCTCCTCCTCAGTGCTCCCTCCTCAGTGCTCCCTCCTCCTCTTCTCCGTTTCTCCTTAGGAAATTCACAGTACGGCCAGCAGCAAGACGCTTACCAAGGACCACCTCCACAGCAAGGGTACCCACCCCAGCAGCAGCAGTACCCAGGGCAGCAGGGCTACCCAGGGCAGCAGCAGGGCTACGGTGAGAGATACTTTATTCTGCTGTCCTATCGAGAAGATGTCATGGTTTTTTGTTTTTGTTTTTTTAATATGCAAGTGATATTTAACTTCCATTTTATTTAAATTTTTAAGCATTGATTTTGTGTGTGTGTGTGTGTGTGTGTGTGTGTGTGTGTGTGTGTGTGTACACATGGAACACAGAGCATGTGGAGATGGCAGCATAACCTGTAGGAGTCACTTCTTCCCACCATGTATGTCCTGGAAAGTGAACTCAGGTCATCAGGTCTGGTGGCAAGTGCCCTTGCCCACTGTATAATCTCTCTCCAGTCCTCGAAATTCTGTAAGCATTGTTTTAGTTCTGCTAATATGATGTGTTTGTTTAGAATGGTTCTAAATAACTGAGTTGGTAAAGTATTCACCCCACAAGCCTGAGGACCTGAGTGAGATTCCCAGCTCCCACCTAAGAGTACCCATCCTTCCTGCCGGCACTGGAGAGGCAAGGACAGGAGGGCCCATGGGCAGCATTGCTAGCCAGTTAACTTCACCCAAGGAATCAGCCAGTGAGAGTCTACCTCAAAATAGAAAGCAGAGATGTAGCCTGAGCGCACACATACATGTGAACACACAGTATAAACGCAGACACAAACACACAGGTGTTCCCTTAGGTAAACTAGTAATCCATTCAGAAGGCATACAAACTAAAGACCATTTAACAGTAAGATGACATGAATTTGTGGGTCTTTTGGAACTGGATGATTAGGAAGTAGCTTTGCATGCGCTTAGATAAATGGTAAGTAGGTACACAAGTAACTGTTAGTAAAAAATTACTTTTTTTTTTTTTTTTTTTTTTTTTTTACTGTGCAAAGGCACAGATCACTCAGCTCCATGAAGACCTATGTCCTTGTAGTGAGGGTACTTACCACATCTGAGGGAGTGTATTTACTGAATCTGTGCATCATACAGAGTTCAGGGGGGCACAGCTGGGTTTCCTACGAACTACTCATAGCTCGTTCTGCTTTCTCTGTCTGATATGCACAAGGCCCTGGGTTCAATCTCTTAAGACTGTCAACACCAAAATGTCTATTAGAATGTCTGCCTTTAAGTCATTGTACTTGGTTGTCTGTCTGTGTGTCTATCTGTCTGTCTTCAGTTTAACTTGTACCGTTTTGCACGTAAAGGACGAGGTGTGTGCATGATGTGGCAGCTGCGTGTCAGTGGTAATACAGCCTCCTTTTCTTGGGAGTAGCTAATCACTTTGGACTGTTGCTGTTCTCAGTTTTCTGGCACCATCTTTGTAGGAACCCCAGCTGCAGCCAGGATTCTTTTGTCCCCTCAACATGTGCGTTGACACTCTCTGGCAGCATGTCTTTTCCCAAGGAAGAGAAGTCTCATCATAGACTGATGAGAAGTACTTGTTCGTGGCTTTTTTCTCTTCCCAAAGACCTTTCTTGCCCTTCCTAAATGGCATTTCCTTTTCATGACTTTTGTATTTCAAATAAATTTTATTGCCGTTGCAGATCAACAAGTTTGATGTCACTAAATGAGCTAAATATACTGACTTGTAAAAAATAGTTTTCACTGGGAGAAGAGAGAAACTTTTTCATTAAATGCCAGGAATCCTAAAGGAGGCCTTCCCATTGTCCTATTTTATAGGCCTCCCTTGTCAAACTTCTTCTGATTTAGAGTTTTAATTACTGAAGTTGCAGTAATCGAATAATCTGGTAGAATTTATTTGAGGTTGAAAATTGATTATTCTCTCCCGAGACTCTTTGTCTGCAGTCACTGTTTTAAGTGGCTGTGGGAGAAGACACGGAAGAGTCCAGGCTGTCAGCTTCCCAGCAGTCACTAGTTGAGTTTCCAAAGGAGAAGGGCCTGCTGAGCAGGCGGGGTCCGTCCTTTGCTGCTTCTGTTTTGTCTTTGGCTCATGGTAAAGTTAAGGTGTTGACAGAGATTAGTTCTTAGAGTGTAATTTTCTTATAAGATTTATTTGGTTGTGTTACATGGGGATGAGTGTTTTGCCTGCATGTATGAATATGCACCATGTGTGTGTCTAGTGTCTCAGGAGGTTAGGAGAGGGCAGGGAGTCCCTCGGAGCTGGAGTTGGAGATGGTTGTGAGCTGCCATGTGGGTTCTGGGAAACAAACCCCGGTTCCTCTACAAGAACAGTCAGTTCCCTGAACCTGTGAGTGTTGTCTCTAGCTCTCTCTTTCTTTCACATACGGCTTGGGCTTTTTGTTGTAAGATACTATAGAGATAAGTTTAGTGATGGTGGTGTAACCCTACCATTTTGATAATTTAAAATATAAATTTAGTCACAATTAGAAATAGCATTGATTTTCCCCAACATTATTCAGAAATTATGTCCTTGTTTGGGCCTGCTCCTTGGTTATACTGACTGACTCATGGATGGATGCTGAGATTACTTTGTTATTATTGTGGAGTTGCCCTGGTTTATTGCATCGTGAGTTGATCTTACCAGCTCCCAGTGTGTCCATTTAGCACACTCATGCCACTGAAGCAGCGTTCCAATGCTTTCTCTTTTACTACAGCCATTAACGTTTATTTCACAGCACACCCTGAGAAAGTCAGGGTGCTAAACTGTCCTGTTTAATTTAGGCACAAGGACATACTTACATCTCATTTGAAATCCTTGCTGAAATTGTGGAGACTCATTGTAACTTAACCTGAGCATTTGTTGGTATGAACTGTCTTGCAGGTCCTTCCCAGGGTGGTCCAGGCCCTCAGTATCCTAATTATCCTCAGGGTCAAGGTCAGCAGTATGGGGGCTATAGAGCGGCACAGCCAGGACCACCCCAGGCACCACAGCAGAGGCCTTATGGGTACGACCAGGTAAGTTAGTCACCAGCTGTGGAGTCACCACAGTGTTCCATGCACTTGCGGCTGTTGGTTTGTTTTACTGACTTTTGAGACAAGACTTCACTGTGGTGCCCAAACTGGTTTTGAACTCATGATCTACCACTCTCAGCCTCCAGGAACTGGATTCAGGCATGGACCATCACACATAGCCCTCGGCACACCGTCCATCAGTTGTTTCTCTGAAGTCCTTCATGTTTGTTGAGTCATGGGCCCATGCGTTCATTTCGCAGCTCACCAAGGCAGCTCACCTGGCAAACGTCTCCCTTTGCCGTCAGAGCTCTTAGCACTTGAACTTTTCCACCAAGTCTACCACCAAGTGTCTTTTTTTCTAATCCTTAGATTTCAGGTGTTGAAATGTGTCTTGTCCTAAGATTGCCTGGAACCCAGTAGTATTCATCTACGTTGTTCTTTTTAATCAAACTCTTCAGACTTGTGCCATAGGCACTTACAGGTGCCCGTTCTCACTTGTTACCGGAAAGTTTCGGGTTTGTGAGGCGGAGTTTCAGTGAGGACATTGATACAGTCACAACGTGGAGACGGTATATAGTTTAAATGAGGGACCCGAGGAGCAGCCCAGACACTACATTAACTCGCATTAGGGCCACCAGCCAGCGCTTCTGCCATGCGCTCTGTCGCGCTCGCCTGTAACCCTTGGTACTTCCCTTCCTTCAGCGAAGACGGGAGTACAGGAGACTGACACACGGGGTAAGGGTGGGCGCGGAAGTTTATTTTTTGGCTTATATTGTGTGTACGGGTGTCTTGCCCACATGTATGTCTACGCACCATGTATGTGCAGTGCCTAGGAAGGTCAGAAGAATGCACTAGGTTCTCTGGGACTGGAGTTACAGACAGCAGAGAGCTGCCATGTTGGTGCTGGGAATTGAACCCAGGTCCTCTGGAAGAGCAGCCAGTGCTCTTAACTGCTGGGCCAGAGTATGGCTAGAGCACTTGCTGCAATGGCAGAGGACCCGTGCTCAGTTTCCAGCATCATGTCACCCAGGATTCCAGCTCCAGGGGTTCCAACTCTGCCACATGGGCACTGCATACATGTGCTTGGACCCATGCACAGATACACGCAGTTAATTTAAGACAGTTTTTTAAAAATTAAAACTCTGATTAGAGAGTTTGATTTATTCCAAACTCTACCATTTTAAAAGGTGACTTTAGTAACATGCTGAACAGGTGAGACGGGGTGCTGAGGGCTTGTAGAGCAGCGGTCTGCATCTCCCTTCCTTTAGCATTTGGCATATGCTCCTCTCTCACACTTACAGGCCTTGAGCATCTACATCAGTCTCCTACTTGTCTTGCCTTTGCAGCTCTTCCTGCTTATCTGAATTGCTAGATGAGAGAGCTTAGGTACTTAGTAAGTCATAGAGCAATTCTACACAAAGGACACCTGTCCTGAGAACTGCTAGATGACAAAGCTGAGGGATTGAGGTGAGTCACTGAGCAATCCTACAGAAAATACCCCTGATCTGTCGGGTTTTTAAATTTGTGTGTGCTGTGTATTCATGTGTCCATATACTGAGGCAGGATCTATCACCAGAACCCAGCACATACCAGTTCCTCTGGCTCTGGGGTTACAGCCAGGCTGCCTTGCCTGTCTAGTCTTTGATCTGTTTGTTTTTGAGGATGGATGTTGGCATAAAACCAAAGCAGATTCCTTAGCCCAGTAATACAATTGTCAGAGCCGTTTATTTAGTTCAGGCATATAAATTTACAGTAGGGAAATCGAGAGCAAACACTAGTTCATGGGACATTCGTGTTCTCCATCTCTGGAACCAGTTCCTTGGGTTGACAACCTTGAGTCACCCTGAGCTTATACACCACTCTTTTGGTAGTTGAACATTGAGCCAAGCAACACACCTCATAACTTTTTCCTTAAAAGTATATCCAGTAGTTGGCTGTTTTTTCAAACCTTCTCTATCTCAAGTCGGCAGTCCACTATCACACATTTGGTCTCTGGGTCTGCCCTTTCAGACTTGTCTGATTCCATTCTGCCATTGTCCACATAGGACCTGGAGTGACGTTTAATAACAATAGCCAAGTTCTAACGCCCTCTCTCAGGGGTGGCTTCAGTCTCATGAAGATTTAGGGGTTGTACCCGTATTGTCCCAGGAAGGATGACTTCTTTCCAGTCTCTTATGTGTTCACACCATGAGTTGCTTCTTCTTGCTCTTCTTTGAGCAAGATGTCAGGCTACCTCAGAACCATTTTGCAGCTCCCTCTTCCCGAAACTCCCCTCTACCTGCAATCCCTCCCAATTTTCTTTGTCCGATGGCTACAGTAGTGAATGCCCATTTTGAAATAGCCAGGGGTAGTGCCTGACATCTGTAATCTTGAGTCCTGGGGAGATCGAGACAGTGGATCATGAGTTCAAGTCATCTTCAGGTACATTGTGAGGTGGAGGCTGGCTCTGTATCAGACTGAATCAGTCAATCGAACAAACAAACAAAATAGCTTTCTTGAGACCTGATTTACGTAATTTACATTTAACAAGCCATGCATTAAAATTGTATAGTTTAATATATCTTTAATATGTCTTAGCTGCATACGCCTACGAAGTCATCAAAACAAAGATAATGAAGCATTCAATGCCCTAAGGCTCCCGCTGTACCCATCCATCCGTGACGTCCCCGATAGGCACCCTGTCACTGTAGAAGAGAAGGGACCCCTATATGTTATCTGACTCCCTTACTTTCTCACATATTTTAAATTTATTCCTTGTGTGTGTGTACACACATGCTCTGCAACAAGTGTGTGGGTGTCAGAGGACAACTTGTGGTAGTCCATTCTTCTGCATGTGGGTCCTGGGAACTGAACTCAGGTCATCACAGGTGCCACCTGCTAAGCCACCTTGAAAGCCCAGGTGGACTTCTTGGCAATAATTGTTTTGGTGTTTGCTCATATTGTGATTATAAGCGATTCTTTATAGCTAAGTAGTATTCTGTGATAAGGCTTTCTGCCATTTCGATATAAGTACCTGACAGCCAGGTCTACGTGTGTGGACACAGACTTTTTTTTTCCCTCATTAAGTCTCGTGGTAGATGAGCTAGTTAGTGCCGGACTGTTGCCCCTTCGGCACTTGCAGCCTGGAGCTAGACAGTTACCAGGTGTCATTGCCTCCTAGGTGATGGCAGCTCAGTGTGACAGAACAGCCCACTCGATGGCATTCCCGAACTTACACTGGGGGCAGTAGAAACCATTGGGGACATGCACTGTTGACAAAGTCAGGCGCTTTCCCAGTCCAGATAGGGTTTCCTCCTGGCCTGTACTCACCAGACACACAAAACCCAAGAAGTATTTGTACTCGGGACCACTGCACAGACATCCCAGGACAGCAGTCTCAGATACGAAAAACAAATCAGAAGAGCCTCTGCAAACTGTTGGTGAGTGTAGCGGAAACAAATGAATAAGGTCTTTTCCCAGATAGAGACAAAAGGAACTCCCTAAAAATTAGTGTAAACAACAACCACTAAAGGCTTTTAAGAAACAAAAACAAAAACAAAAAAATACATTTACTGGAGTAATGTGGCACACCTGTGGCAATCAGGCCATTGTGGGAGTTACACTGTCCTTCCAGCTCAGTCTCTGGCCTCATGGCAAGCCTGCTGAACCTTCTCACCAGGCTCCTCCCCAGCGATCATGTACAATAAACTTTCATCATTAGCATCCAACTTCACACATGCACAGGGAAATATTTCCCTCCAGTGTTGAGGCTTGGTGTGTTACAGTTAATCCGTGAATAAGGTAACTTACTTATTTTGAGACAAGGTTCACCATATTCCTGGTCTCAGCCTTCTAGATTGAAGCAGCCCTCTTTGGCCTCCGTAGTGGCCTGGACTGCAGACATAAACCAGGGCACCGTGCTTGTCAAAACCCTTTCTCATGTCCTGTCTCCTTAGGGTCATGATAGACACAAGGTATAGTTTATACCTTAAGACAGCCCTGGAGGGAAAGGAAATTGTGACCTCGAGCTGAAACTTGTACTGTCTCCTTCACGGGTGAGGAGACTGAGTCTCCGAGTATTTTAAGCAAGGACAAAGGTAGCAGCAGAGTTGGAACTTGAGTTCAGTGTAGGGCTTCGGTTCTGTAACATTGAGCACTGAACTACAGGATGCTGGCAGTTACCCTTTTACAATGCTTTACTGTTTCGTTACATATGTGCATGTGTTTCTCACAGAACCCAGAGATTCATTTTGACTCCACTGGCCATAGAGCCACTTGCTCACCCTGCACCCCCCCCCCCATCCTAGGGTTACACGTGTGTGCCACCAAATCCGACTTTGAAGTACTAATCCTGTCTGTAATTTAGGACCATTTTGCTGTTGAACATAATATCAGGAAAATTAGAGCAATAATACCTAGTAAATAAATGTTTGGACTTACTGGATGGGTGTTTAGTTGCTTTCCTGAAATGATAACATTATGAATTACATTTGTAACTTTCTGTCTTAAACCAACTTAGGTCAAACTCTTATCTAATTCTGTTTTTAAATTTATCTTTTAGGGTCAATATGGAAATTACCAGCAGTGAAAATATCCTTACATTCCAATAGCCAGTATCTGTTAGCAGCCATATTGTCACAATTTGTGCCCTGTGGACACCTCCCTGCGAAGACGCCTTCCATTCCGCCTCGTTTGGGGAAATCTTTGCATAAGTGGCTGTGTTGTTAGCAAGCAGCCATTGTGCATTAGTTTGTAAAGGGTTTAGTGATTTCACATTTCTACTCTAGATGGCAACATTGGACAGAAAATACATTGACATAAAGTCATTTGCAGCGATTTTGGAACTGTGTTCCAAATGGACTGTCACAGACTGAAAGGTGTCAACAGCTTTGTATGTTTACGAAGGTTGAGGGGGGTTCATACTTTTCCACAGATTATTTTGTAAGGGTAAGGGGGGAATGTACACTTTTTACAGCAGCAATATTTTGTATATTATGTTTATTTCATGTGATGAATATGCAAAGCGGTACACTGCGCACTGGGCAGAGTCAGAAGCGCTGTTGATGTGGAGTGTGTGGGTTCTTGGCCGCTGTGGTGTCTGAAGACACAGGTGAAGGAGAAGACAGATTTCACACCACACGTATTTAGTTCTTAGAGGAAACCCACATCTCGTATCCACCAGGGTAGCAAGGGCACTGTGATACAGTTTTTGAGTACAAAGACCTTTTTTTAAAAAGCCTTCCAGTTTTGTGCATTAAACCTTTTTGTAAAGATGATTCTAATACTGTTATCAAATGCAAGGCAATAATTATGTTGCATCTGCGAATGTTGGCAGGTCCGTGTAAATGAAGTGTGAAACGTCTCAAAACAGCAATAACTGAAAAGGAAAAAGTGTTGGTTTTTACCTTGTTTGAGTATCAGGGAGCTAAGTGAGTATGGTCAGCACACTCTAACCGCACCAAAGAGGACTCGGCGTTGATCTGATGATACTGTTGTTTTTAGCATTAGTATAATTGGTTCATGGGGCAGACTTTACACGCTTGTATTTGAACTTTCTTAGTTGGATACGAGTAGAGGGGGATCTTCATGTTCCTCTCTTCTTAGTTGCTGTGACAGGAGAATGCCTCTGATGGGGCATTTCTCATTTCTATGGAAAGCCTTGAGGTTGTGTTTTACGGTTCCTTGTTTTCAAGTATGACTTACACAATCATTATTTGAGACGGATTATTTTAGGTCAGTTCAGATATTGCACTGGACAGGAAAGCATGCACTGAGAGACTTCTAAACACATCTGTTTGAGCAGACTTTGAAACATCTAGCCCAGAGGTAAGCTGCTGTGTCCTCACAGTTGTCTGTATCCAGGGAATAGGGCATAATCTTCGTAATTGAATTAGTTTTTGCCCCTTCTAGCTGGAAACAGAACAGAAGGGTACCATAAATTCAGAGAAGCAGAGCACACCGTTCTCAGCATACTGTAATCAAAGGAGGGGTTTCACTGTGTCTGTGTGAGTGAGAGCGTGTTTTAAGGTCAGAATAACTTGGTCAATAGAAAATAGGCATCAGGTGTGAGCAGATAAGGTATGGGAAGCCTCCACCACTGTGTACTTTGTTGCTATTTAAAACTGTATCAACTCTAACGAAAGAATAAATTATTTGTGATTTTAATTTTCTCATTTGTTTCTTTAAATTAGATCTCTTTGACTCTACTGTTTTGTCTGGAGACCATACTCTGGGTTTTTATGTAAGTTAGTCCAGTACAAATAGACTGTATTTGTATTCTAGGACTTGATCAAAATTCTCTTGCCATGCCCAAGTTAATTAGAATTAACTGTTCAGTAATCAGTGTGTTGTGTAGGCTGTTTGCTGCAGAATTCTTTCTCTGAAAATGAAGTCCATGAGGCTATAATCAAGATGACTGAATTAGATAAATGAGTTGAGGAGACAAAATTGTGCTGATCCCAACCTGGTGGAGATACGTTATCTCATTTGAAATGAGCTCAACTGACATTAAGAAATAATTTGTCTTGCCATCCCATCTTCTGTTGTCTTATTCTCCTTTAATGGAAACTAAAATTGCAATTTTAATAAGCAGAATTTCCTCTAGGACTTTCCTCCTGGAGACTGGTGCATTTGCAAGGTTTAATTGTCTTATAACAGTCCTATTTCGTAAAAGTTTTTAATTGGTGGTGACAAAGATTTCCTTACTCCTTTGGTACCTAGTAAGAACAATAACTTTACCAGTAGCTTTTCTACCAGAGTTGACATTTCATACAGAAAAAAAAAAAAAAAAAGGGTAAAACTTTCATTTTATTAAATGAACGCTAATGAATAAATATTGTAGCACCACACAAAATCTTAACAAGAGTAGCGTGACTAATGGTAAGTGTGCTAGCCCATGTGTGCAGCTGTTAGCACTATCCTGTAGCTTATTTTGCTGGCAATTGTTGGGGCTTTAATGAACTTGCAAGGCAAAGGGCGGAGTCGGAACATGTGGTCCTGTGTGTGGTGACCCAGTTCATCCACCTGGCACTCAAGGCTGATCAGCTGGTGTCTGTACACCTTCTCATAAGCAGAGGCCAACACTGTTCCATAGCTCATACATGTGTCAGTGAGGACCTCGGCGACTCCTCATTTTCACAGAATGCCTTGCACTCGGAGGAATCTTCTCTCCCTGAATTCTTCATTTTCAATAATAATGTTCTTTGGAATCTGTACATTCAGACTGCTGCCTTTCCTTCTACATGAAGTAAAAGATTAACAAGTGCTGGGCAGTGGTGGCGCTCGGCCTTAATCCCAGCACTCGGGAAGCAATACAGGCGGATCTCTGTGAGCAACTTCCAGGACAGGCTCCAAAGCTACGTACAGAGAAACCCTGTCTCAAAAAACAAAGCAAAACAAAACCAAAACAACAAAAAATTAATAAGCAACTCTCATAGTTGTTTTTTTTTTTTTTTTTTAAAAAAAAAAAAAAAAAGTGGTTTTTTTGTTTTTTCATTGGACGTTTCTTATTTTCTTTCCAACAAGAGAAGAATCATGCTTTGCTGTTTTGTAACATTTTCTTTCTTTTTTTAATTTGAGATGCCCCTTTCTGAGTTGCCTTTCACTATTATAGAAACAATTTTCATAAAAGTACCCAGCAGAGTTCCTTATATGTGCTTTTGGGCTGTTTATGTACACTTTATTTCTTATGTGCTAACTTTATATGTATGTTGGTCTTCTTTTTATCTGTCACTTTAAAAACTTTTAATTGTGATGTCTTTTAAGCTGGGCGTTGGTGGTGCACGCCTTTAATCCCAGCACTCGGGAGGCAGAGGCCAGCCAATCTCTGTAAGTTCGAGGCCAGAGCTAGTTCCAGGACAGGCTCCAAAGCAATACAGAAAAACCCTGTCTCGAAAAACAAAACAACAAACAGACAAACAAACAAAAAAAAAATATATGATGTCTTTCACTGTTAAAAGTCTTCTGTACCCGCCCCCAATAGGGTCTTATCATCTCTTTACCTTGCAAATTTATTAAGTATTCCTATCTGCTTCCATTTCCAAATTTTACTTGGTATCGTTTAGGGTGTTAGCTTTTCCCCCATATAAAACTGTTTAACCACATACTAAATAAGTCATTTTCTTACAGTGATTTGCAATGCCATTTAATGGCTTTTCTTAAAAATGTAATTATATGTAAGGTATATTGAATATTCCATTTTAAAGACTAAATAGATCCATTTAAGTAGAACTACTTAATTACCACAGAGATAAAGTTCTTTTCCTCTGTATTGTTGTATTGGATGAAAGTTATTCGCAAACTTAACAAATATTCACATACTTAATATGAACTGTCTAGAACATGTTAAAATGTATCACTTGTTGAAATTTAGAAGTGCTTTGATATTATTTTTTTGCACCTGATAATTATCTCTATAGCTGACTCAAAGTGCCTGTATTGAATTACTAAGGAAAAAATTAAGGAATCAATAGAAAATCCTTTTTTATTGTTTATTTGTCCAAGTCTCAGATAGCAAATCTTGTTTTATTGTTTATTGTTTAGTCCATCATCTCAGAAGCAGATGATGGAATATAATTTTCATTACTTCAGTAGAGTCCAGTAAGCAGAGTAGGGGGGATATTTTACATACATACACACACACACACACACACACACACACACACATTTGAGTATACACACACGTGTGTATGCCTGTATTGTTTATGTGCACATGTTTCATATATCTATGGGTAAATGTTTTTAAATTTTAGTGTTTTGGGGCTAGAGAGGTGGCTTAACAGGAGTGCTTGCTGCTCTTTTAGAGGACCCAAGTTTTGGTTCCCAGCCTTCACGTCACGTGGTTCTCAACCACCTGTCTATAACTCTGGCTCTGAGGGATCTGATCTCTGGCCTCAGTGTATACCAGCATGCACAGGACATTCACTCATACAGACAGGCGTGCAGACACAGAAAAAAGCTAATCATAATAAAAGTCAGTCTTTGTGACGGTTTATGTAGCTACAGTCTTTTGGGAAGGTGAACTCTCAGGATAACAGCAAGTCTGGAGAATATATTTTTAAGTGGCTGTAGGTACAGCCACCCCCAGCTGGTGGTGATGGGTTCTGTAAAAAAGCAGACTGAGCAAGCTAGGAGTGCACAAGCCAGTAAGCAGCACCCTCCGTGGCCACTGCATCAGCTCCTGCCTGCTCTTGCTGTTAAGTTCTTGTCTGACTTTCCTGGATGATGGGGAAATAAACCTTTTCCTTTGTCAAGTTGCTTTTGCTCATGGTGTTTGATTATAACAACAGAAACCTTGAGACAGAAATACATTCTATTTAAGATAGTATTGTTAACTGTGTCCTCATACTACAAGATATTTATTGGCAGTACATTTCAAAATAAAGTTACTGTTCGAACAGGTGAATAAGAAATCTAGAATATTCTGTTGCCATCACTTGTTTTCCCGCTAGAGAATATTGACTATTCCTACTACCATTTTCTCATCTTTAACAAAAGTTACCCCATGTCCTGTGAGTATGTGACTGCCTAGCTGGAAATGGTTAAATCCTCCTTTTCAGCTCATTGTCCGGGACCCTCAGGCCTATAGGATGTAAGCCGAAGCCGGGCTCCACCCTCCTTAGCTCATTTGTGAATGTGCACTGGCGTTTTCTCCTTTCTGTGTTTTCTTGCCTGGAACATGATGCCTGCTTGTGTGGGGTGTCCGTCCACGTAGGTTAGAAAACATTCTAGAAGGTTGAGGCAGCACTGAGAGTCACAGGTCTCCAGATGGACTCAACGATGCCTGTGCTTGAACTTGTACTGTGACAGAAGGGAAGGGACACTTTTGGTTACTAAGAGTTTGTTACTATACAACCCCCCAGGACAGGGTTGTGTGGTATGATAACCAGCCATACTTCCCTAAGACATGTTCTTTATAAAGTTATGTTTTAAGAATGACAAGTAGCCAGGCGGTGGTGGCACATACCTTTAATCCCAGCACTCAGGAGATAGAGGCAGGTGGATCTCTGTGAGTTTGAGGCTAGCTTTTGTAAGACCATCCTGTGCTCTCTCATTTGAGTGAGTTAAGTAGGATCTTCATAGATCCACTCAATTTAAAAATACTGATAAAAGCCAGGTAGTGGTGGTGTATACCTTTAATTCCAGGACTCAGGAGGCAGAGTCAGGCGCATCTCTGAGTATGAGGCCAGCGTGGTCATACAGATCGAGTTCCAGGACAGCTGAGACTACACAGAAAAGCCCTGTCTGGAAAACCATTCACGTGCACGTGCACACACTCACTCACACACACACACACACACACATGCACAGGCACATACACAGCATATACTAAATAACCAGTTACACTCATTTTGGTAACTTTGTGTAAACTTGGTTGATGGGAGATGCCATTATGTATATATGTTTCTCATACTGGTTAATAATAAAGCACTGTTGGCCAATAGGAAAGGAAGATAGGAGGGACTAGGAGACAAGGAGGAAGGGAGTAGGAAGGGGAGCAAGTGGAGGCTGGAGAAAGCGTATGCCCCCCGCCCCCCCGAGAGATACATAGTCGCGTGGGTTATAATTAGGCGGCTGCTGTGACAGTACGGGCCAACAGTTATATCTATCGAGTCTCTGTGTGTTTTTGGGGCTGGTGCCCCGCGCCCGGGCACAGAACAGCGGCGGCGAAAATCTCTCTTACACTTGGTCAACAGTTTGTTTTTGTTTGACAGAGATTTGTATGAGACCTTCCCACCTTTCATTTTATTTTGACTTCTATTTTACTCTCTTGCAGGTCTTAATTATTTTGTAGCTTTTTGGCTTCCCGTATTGATGTGCCTGTCTTAATTGTACAGCACATGCCAGTTTTTCTTAGGTTAGAAAACAATAAACAGATTACCCATATTTATATGTGGGTGGGATGCTTAAGGTCTAAAAAATTGTCAAGTTGAGGCAGGAGGATTCCAAGTTTGAAGTAACCCTTGTCTACAAAGCCTCAGGGGGAGATGAACTTAATAGTGGAAAAATACTTTGAATATAGTATCATTTTTCATATACTATTTTATACACATGATTAAGTTTTACAGCTTTTTAAGACTGGACTCAAGTACTGCTTGAAGCTATCACATAGCTTACCTTCTTTCCTAAACCTGGGCTGTCTTAGGGCACTGTGTCTGTTAAAGATA